CGTGACGACCCGTACTTTTTGGGGCCGCCTCCCCGCGATCCTTGGCCGTGTCCGCCTGCCCCACCTCTTGGTCCCCCGCCTGATGGTCTGTCAGCGAGGCGCAGGGAGCGTTGGCGGCTCAGGCGCGCGGCACGGACTCTTGCGCAGTATTCCGTTATTGCGTTGAACTGGCACACGCTGGGTCACCCTAGCTTCGCTCCCGCCGAAGCCCGAGTCCGCGCCACGGCCTCGCCCTGCCAGGAGGGCGTTCGCTCCCGCATTGAGCGGTTGTGTCGGATCGCAGTTCGCCTTGCCCGCGGTGGCAAGAGCGACCGTGGTCGGGCTTTCGCCAAGTTCGACTCCACCGAAGTCTCGCTCCATGGCCTGGCCACCCATGTCGTAGCTCTTGAGGCTTCCTTCACCTCCTCCTCGTCCGTGCCTGCCCCCATGCGGCACTGCCCGACCAGCGCTCCGCCCGTGCCTGGTTCGTTGGCTTCTGCGGCGGCCTGGGACCCCACCCAAGCCGAGCCCTTCGACCTCAAGGTCCGGGCCTCCCGCATCAAGTGGGATTACTCGCCCGAGTTCGATCCCACTCCCTTCCTCTCCGACGCGCGTGTGCGCGAGGCGTTCCTCGACCCCGAGGTGATGCGGCTGCCGTCGGCAGAGTGGCCTTCAGGCCAGAAGGGTGCACGTGTCCATATGGACCGCGCTGAGCTGTGGGCCCTGCTCCAGAAGTGGGTCGCCTGCGGCGCTCTCTACCTGACTCCCGCTTCGGACCTCGCCTGGGATGAAGCTTGTGGAGCTTTCAGGGTTCCAAAGGACAGCGACTTCGATCGTCTGATCCATAACCCTACAGTGGTCAACAGCCGCTGCGCCTCCATCTCGTCCAGCACGCAGCGGCTCGGCCAGGGCTTCCTGCTGTGCCGCCTGGGCCTGGAGCCTGGCGAGTGGTTGGCGGTCTCCTGCGACGACTTGCGGGAGTTCTACAACACGTTCCGCGTCCCCCCCGCCCGCGCTCGGCGAAACGCTCTGCGAGTTCGCCTGCCTTCGGCCCGCTTCAAGGCATTTCGCGCCTGGCGGCCCGAGCTCGAGGGCGTGGACGTCGCCCCATGCTTGAACGCTCTTGCGATGGGCGACAACAAGGCGGTTGAAATTGCCAACTCAGCCCATGAGGGTGTTCTGCGCAGTTTCGGCGCCTTACGACCTCACGAACAAGTCGTGCATCGGTTGCCCTTCCCCCGGGGCCCTTTCGTGGAGATGCTGAACATTGACGACCATACTGGCTTCCAAAAGCTCTCCTGGCGTGGGACGGCGCCTCGCCCTGACGACCCTCATCGTCGGGATCGCGAGGTCTTCGCCGCCTGCGACAAAGGGTACCCGCGCGTGGGCCTGGTGCAGCACCCGGGCAAACGCGCCCGCGGGGAGACGCACAAAGTTGTGGTGGGGGCCGAAGTAGAGGGACGTATCGGTATCGTCTGCGCCCCCCTGGTGCGGACCGTTGCCCTGTGCAGGCTGACCTTGATACAGATTTATCTCGGCATCACTACACGGTCCCTCTTGTCATCTCTTGACGGTTGTTGGGTGCAAGTTTTCCTCTACCGCCGCCCACTGTTGGCCATATTTACGCATGTCTACAACTTTCTGTCACGTCTGGCAACTGAGGACGGGATCGAGTACGATCTTCCCCCCTCGGTGCGTGACGAACTTTTGGCTTGTACCTTTCTGGCCTTCACCGCTATAACCGACCTTCGGGCGCGCCCCTGCTCCGAAGTGTTCGGTACGGACGCATCCCTCGGCTGGGGGGGAGTGGTCCGCGCTCCGATCAGCTCCCAGTTGTCTGCCGAGCTGTGGCGGCGATCTGAGCACGGGGGGGGGCACACGATTCTGCACAATCGGAGCCTCCTCGCCGTTCTGAGCCGCGGCGAATCCTTGGGCCCTGAGCTTACCCAGCTGCACCGCGACCTGGGGCTGCCTTCTCTTGAGCCTCCCGTCGCGCCGCGCTGGGTAACCGAGCTCTCGGAGGCGATTCGCTTTCGCTTGGCGTATAAATGGGAGTTCCGCATGCCGCGTCACATCAGCATCCTCGAGACCACCGTTTATAAGAGTCTTTGCAAGTACTGCTGTATTCGGATCCCAGACTCCCGTATTCCAGTTCTTCTGGACTCGAAGGTGGCCCTGGGGGCGTCCGCTCACGGGCGTAGCAGCTCCCCTGGGTTGTCCCACGTTCTTTCCACCACTTTGCCTTATGTGATCGGGGGAGGTCTTTATATGGGAGGGTTATACGTGCCAACGGATGTGCATCGAGCAGACGATCCTACCAGGAATCGCCCCGTCAGGCCCCCTTCTATACCTCCACCGTCCTGGCTGGTTGAAGCCGAAGCGGGAGACTTCACCAGGTTTGATTGTGTCGCATACGCGGACTCCCGTGCACCTTATCCCACATGTCTGTGGGGACGCCTTGTCGCGTTGCTGCTGTCTCGAGGGCTCCTCGACAGCCCCGGGGGCCACAATGGGGCGGCCTGTTCCCCCCTCGCGGCGGGCGTGGGGCTGACCGCCGCTGCAGACGACGCCGAGGGGCCAACTGCCGGAGCCCCTGGCGCCTGCAGCGCTGACGGGGCGCCCGCTGAGGCGCTCGGCCCCCGTGCGGGGCCGCGGAACGCGCTGTTCCAGCCGCGCGACGAGGGTCCCGGCAGCTGCGCGGAGGGGGCAGCCCGCCTTGTTGCTCCCCCCGCGCTCTCGTCGGCCCCCGACGCGCGTCCCAAGACGCGGTCGGCCCCCCAGCCTGCCGTCGGGGGTGGCCAAGCTCGCACAGTTGGGCGCGACTTCCCGACGGGCCGCGAGGCCGCGACACCTCACGCCTTCCAGCGCGCCGCCCGCCTGGGCCGAGCCCGCCAAGTGCTCGGGGTCGCGGAGGGCGCCCACAGGGGCGCGATCGAGGGCTCGTTCCGGCGCCTCTCGGTCCCGTGCCGTCCCGACAAGGCACCCGCGGGGTTGACAGCTGCCGAAGCGGTCGCCCGCGTCCAGCGGTGGAAGGACTTGTGCGACGCGAAGTCCCTGCTGCTGAAGGCGGCGGCGCATCAGTCGGCGTCCGCCGTGCTCGCGCCTCCGCAGGCGAGCCAGCCGTCCAGGCTTCCGCTTGGGCCGAGGCCGTTGGCCAGGGCGCCCGCCGAGGGGCCCCTCCCGCAGAAAACGCGTGCCGTCCTGCACAACGCTGAGGTCAAGACGGGCCTCGCCAACGAGGAGCGCGCCGCTCGCGGTGGGGACGCACCCGCGTCGTCTACTGGCCGCTCCTTGGCCGAGGTGGAGGCCGAGGATCCGCGCGCCCTGGCGCGGCCCGCCGACGACCCTGCGTCCCGCTTCAGCCTCCGTGAGCGGCGCGCAGTCCGCGCCCGCCCGGGCCCGCGGGATGAGGCGGTCGAGGACCAGCCCACCCGCGGTGGTCACGCGCCGCACTCCGCCTCGCGCACGGGCGCCGCGCGCACCAGGCGCGCCGCCAGGCAACGGCGGGCTTCGATGGCGGCGCTCCCCGCCCCTGAGGGGGGAGCCGCCACGGCGCCTGGCCGCAGGGCGCGTCGCGCAGCCAATGCGCGCCGCTGGGCAGGCGTGGCACGCCCCAGCTCCGCCGCGGGGGTGGGCTCCCCACAGCGGAGCCCCAGCGCTGCCCGCGGCCGTACGCGGTCTCCAAACCCGTACGGGAGGGACCACACCTCTCCCTCGGGGGGCGGCTCTTCGCCTCCCGTCGACGGCCCGCTCTCGCCCGAGGAGCCGTCGGAACCGCCCGCGGGAGTGGCACCGGAGGGCCCCCACGCCAGAGCCCCGAGGTGCCCCCCGCGCTCGCCCGACGGGTCACCGCCCGCGAGCGTTCGCAGCCGTTCGAGAGCGGAGCCCGCGTGCGACGAGGACGAGGCGTTCGACTCCGACGACGCCCTTCTGCAAGAGGGCGCGCTCGCCTCTCTGAGCGCCCTCGCGGACTCTTCGATGGACCTTGAGCGCGTCGTGGCGGGCAAGAACCCCGAGGTCCTCCGCCGCCTGCAGACGGTTTTCCCTGGTGGCTCGGCTGAACGAGGACCCCGCGACGAGCGCTCCCGCTCTCATGAGCGCTCCGGCAGCAGGAGGGGTTCTCCCCGCAGCCACGGGGGCAGGCAGCAGCGCGGTAACAGGGGGCACCCTCCTCGCCGCTCGGGGGGCCCCCCGCCCGCCGCTCGCGCCTCGGCTCGCAGCCGCTCTCGGGGCCGCGGTCCGCGCGTAGGCTCCGAGCCTCCGCGGCCCTTGCTCCCGCCGCCGCCTCCGCCCCCTCGCCCTTCAGACAGGCGAGAGGCGTCGCGCTCCAGGGGCGCCCGCGGCTCCCCCCGCGCGCCCTCGCGACAGGTGACGTCGCCTCGGCGTCGCGAGGCGCGCGCCCCTCGGGTCGCTCCGAAGCGGCGCCCGAGCCCAGCTACGGCGCCTCGGCAGGCCGCGCCCCGCCAGGGTGCGAGCTCGGGCGGCGCCCACGCAGGCAGCTACCGCGCGGGCCCCGCTGCTCAGGCCCCCCCGTCCTCGGTGGGCACGCGCTCCTCCAGCGATGCTGCTGCGGCCCCGCAGGGCGGAGGGCGTGCCGCCGAGGAACGGGGGTCTTCGAGCGGCCTCGCGCCTGGCCGGGGCTCGGGGCGCGAGCTGCATCCCAGCGGCACCCACAGCGGCGACCCCGGGAGCGCCGCGGCTGCAGCCTACGCAGCGCGGCGCACGGCTTCCGAGGCCGTCGAGCAGCCCTTGCCCACTCTGACTCAGGGGAGTGCGGCCCCTCTGTCCCCTATCTCGGATTCCCGCGTTCCGCGTCTGAACTTCCCTCACCTGTCCGCCGACGAAGCGGCGCGCCTGGGCCTGCAGGCGCCGACCGTCGAGGCCATCTTGGCCAGGGCCCCTGGGCCCCCTCAACGCGTCCAGACCTGCGCTCTGGTTCCTGCCTCCGCCCTAGTAGCGGCTTGGGGGAACGGGCGGGGCAGTGGCGCCTCGACGCAGCCGCCCGCTGCTCTCTCCCCGAGCATCCTGCCGCCCCTGGGGTTGGCCAGTCTCGATGAGGGCGCAGGCTCCGCCGAGGTGGCCGCAGGTGACGTCAGGGGAGCTTGCGCCGAGGCTCCCCAGAGGACCCTGCATCTGGCCCTCGAGTGCCTCCTTATGGCGCTCGAGCAGGGCGCAAGCTCCGCCGAAGTGGCCGCAGGGGACGTCATGGGGGCGTGCGCCGAGGCTCCCCAGACGACCCTGAATCGGGCCCTCGAGCGCCTCATTTTGGCGCTTCGGCAAGGCGCAAGCTTCGCCAAGGTGGCCGCAGGGGACGTCATGGGAGCGTGCGCCGAGGCTCCCCAGACGACCCTGAATCTGGTCCTCGTGTGCATCCTTCTGGCGCTTCAGCAGGGGAGCCACGTTTCACGACACTGGCTTAAGTAGGGCCAGATTGTTCAGCCGACGACGCTGCGTCGGCCAGAGCAGGGGGGTAAGCATTTGGACTTCACCGATCCGCTCCCGCCCTGCGCGCGTTGCGGCTTCCGTACTCGGTGAAACTATTTGATTTCGGCTATTGGCGTGCTGATCGTCTAAACGGCCTTCTCGCCCCCCTACGAGCTGTCCGCTCTCCCTGAGCCCCCTTTGTGCTCAGGTCGCCTGTCGTACTGTCAGTTGCGACCTCTGTCGCTGCCCGCCCGCGACGTCCTTGTCGCTTCCCTTCTAGGGGTCGGCCCTGCTGTATGGACCACCCGTCTATCGGCCGCCCGCCGAAACCTTGTCACTGCGCAAGGGCTTTGAGCATGGGTATGGCTGCATCGCCGTTTACGGCGACCAGGCGGACTCCACCGCCTGAGGCGGCGCCCCGGCTCGGGCGCGCGGGGCGGGCCTGCCCTTTTTGGGCCGTTCCGCGCGCGCGGCGCCGCGGCCCCGCACGGAGACAGCTCGCTTGCGCGCGAGCGGGAGAATGCTCCTCTCTATTCTCCTTGCGACCCGCGCTCTTGCTGTCTCTGCAGCTTCTCAGCCCCCCTCCCTCCTCGCCCTCATCTTGGCTGATGTGGCGCTGCATCGCCGTTTACGGCGACCAGGCGGACTCCACCGCCTGAGGCGGCGCCCCGGCTCGGGCGCGCGGGGCGGGCCTGCCCATTTTGGGCCGTTCCGCGCGCGCGGCGCCGCGGCCCCGCACGGAGACAGCTCGCTTGCGCGCGAGCGGGAGAATCATCATCATCATCATCATCATCCCCCTCCCCCTCCTCCTCCTCCTCCTCCTCCTCCTCCTTCACTCCTCCTCCCCTCCTCCTCCTCCTCCTCCTCCTCGCTCTTCCTCCCTCCTCCTCGCTCCTCCTCTCCTCCTCCCTCTCCTCCTACCTCCCTCCTCCTCTCTTCCTCCTCCTCTCCTCCCCTCCTCCCTCCTCCTCCTCCCCTCCTCCTCCTCCTCCTCCTCCTCCTCCTCCTCCTCCTCCTCTCCTCCTTCCTCCCTCCTCTCCTCCTCCTCCTCCTCCTCCTCCTCCTCCTCCTCATCCTCCTCATCCTCCTTCTCCTCCTCCTCACTTTGCGTGCACCACATAGCTCGCACATCCACAGTGCAATACCTTACTGTTCGGGGTCCACGCTGTCAAACAATCCCCAAGCAGCTCGTCTGCAAGGGTTCTCAGCAGTTCGAAGAAGATCAAGCGGCCTCAAGATCAACTTTCGGAGCTCCGCGCGAATTTCTTGGATCGGCGCTGGACCCCCCTGGCGGCGCTTACGGCGCCGCCCCTGGCGCTCTCCGCGAGCCAGGGATGGGTGTCCAACGCCGATCCTAGAGATCAGCGCGGAGCTCCGACAGAGTATGTGCGTGCCGCTTCTGTTCCTCTAGGGGGGGAAGCAGCTGTCCGCCCCAGTCCTTTTTTGACGGCGCCGCCCCTGGCGCTCGTCACCACCCACCAAACCACCCCAACCCAACCCGAAGGTCTCGATTTGCCCTCCATTTCCAGTTGGGGGGGGTCGGGGAACATCGAGAAAACACATATGGAACCCGTACCCCCCCCAACCCGAAATTTGGGTCTTCGGGTTGGGTTAGGGGTGGTCTGGTAGGCAGTCAGCTCGCCGCACGCCAGGGAGGGAGGGCGAGCGCTGCTCCGAGGCACCGATCCCCCTACGTCACCCGCGGGGGCGCGAAGGCAGGCGCGCTCCGCGCGGCGCCGTCTGGGCCAGAGCGGTTGCCCCTCTCCGAGAGGGCGGCGCGGGAGCGCCGTGTGCCGAGGATGATCGTGCATCGCGGTGCGCGATGCGCGAAGTTAGGAGGTCACCACCCACCAAACCACCCCAACCCAACCCGAAGGGTCAGATTTACCCTCGATTTCCAGTGGGGGGGGGTCGGGAAACATAGAAAAAACACATGTGGAGCCCTTACCCCCCCCCCAACCCGAAATTCGGGTCTTCGGGTTGGGTTGGGGTGGTCTGGTAGGTAGTCAGATCGTGCATCGCGGTGCGCGACGCGCGAAGTTAGGAGGCCTGCATCCCTCCGCGAAACTTAGCGCAAGCCTTTCCCCGCGCCGCATCGGCACCCCCAGACCACCCCAAAGATTTCAGCGTTGACGCCGGAACACGGAGCAGCTGGCTTCATCATCTTCGTCGGCGCCCGCGGACCGCGCCGCGCGCGCGGCCGAACACTGGAAATGGGGGCGGGAAGGGGGGCCCTGACTCCGGATCCGCCCTACTTCGGCTTTTTTTCCAACTTAAAATTGCGTCGGAAATCCACCTATAAGAGGCCGAAAAAGTAGGGCGGAAATTGCTGCACCCAACATAAAATAGGGCGGAAATCCACAGAAACAGCAACAGAAAAGTAGGGCGGAAATTGGCATCAGCGGGGCCTGAAAAGTAAGGCGGAAATCCCAAGCCCCACTTACGAATTTCCCCAAAGTAGGGCGGATCCGGAGTCAGAAGGGGTTGGCGAGGCTCGGTCATCCAGCCGATTGGTCTCGGCCTCCAGGGGGCCGTCTTCGGGCCACGGGGCCGTCGTGCGCGAGCCTGGGGCGAGGAGCTGCCCCCCTCCCCCAGGAAGGGGTCGAGACCTCTAGGGCCTGCGGGCGGGGGCCAGTGTCAGGAGTGGGTGGGGAAGGCACCCAGAGTGCGGCGGATCCGGAGCTGCAGGCCTCGGAAAAAAATGCTCCAGATTTCGTAATAAAAGGGAGGGGGTCTCGACCCTCCCAGACGAGGAGTTTTAGACCCCCCCCCCGTGGGAGAACCCTCCAAAACATCGTCCCCAGACCCCCCCAGGCCCTCCAAGATAGCCTGGAGGAGACCCCCCCCCCGAAATGAGACCCCCCCTCCCTTTATTACGAAATCTGGAGTAGCGAACACTCATGCCACATTCATCTGTGAACGCCTCCCCCTGCCCCCAATGTTCAAAGTCGGCGGTGGGTCTGATGAGTTGCACCTCGACCGCAGTCTCCCCCGCGCGTGCCAACCTCGAGTTTGGGGGGCAGGGGGGGTGTTCACTAATTGTTTCCCTCTACCGTAAGGGGGATGATTCAGAAGAGGCAGAGATACCTCGATGTCTCTGGCACTCCCTCGTCGGCGTTCCCTCGTCGGCGCGGTTGGGTTCCCCTCGAAAGCTTGGTCAGGGCGCACCCCTGGAGAAGACAGATACTGATACCGCTGGCACTCCCTCGTCGCCACGTTTGGGTTCGCCTCAAAATTCTGGTCAGGACGCACTCACGGAGAAGAAGAGGCACAGTCACCGATACCGCTGGCAGAGGGAGGGAGCGACAGGCGTCGGAAACAATTAAGCAACATTCACGCACAACATATGTTTTGAGATCCCCCCCTCCCCCCGAATGCAATGTTGGTTTCGGATCTTCCGAGTCTGAGTGTCCGAGCTGTGATGCGTAATCGTGCCAGTTTTGAATTGCGCGGGAGGGGGGAAGTATTGCTCTTCTTGTTTCCCCAACCGAACCGATGCTCCTTCCCTCGTTTTCGGCTTTGGGGCGTTTGAGGAGGCGTTTCTGGGTCTTCTCGTGGCTAACGGCTAGACGCAGCAGGAGGGGTCCAAGGACGCATTTGTTTATCGGAATGCGGCAAGCATGCCACCTCCCAGAAAATCGGAAATTGTCATTCTGGGAGTCCGACCGCCGAGTTCAGAATGGAGGAAACAGGCCTCCAGAATGGAAGTCTGACCTCCATCCTGGAGGTTTTCGCTCCTCCGCGCTCCTCCCTCGTTTCCGGACAGCTCGGCCTGCTTGGGGGGCACACGTCGCACCGGTTGGGCTCGTCCCGGAATCCTGGTCACGATGCGCACTGTTCTGTCCCCCCCTCCTCCCCCTCCTCCTCCTCCTCCTCCTCCTCCTCCTCCTCCTCCTCCTCCTCCTCCTCCTCCTCCTCCCCCTCCTCCCCCTCCTCGCCCCCCCCGGTGTAGTAAGGACGCGGTGTCTTGAAAAGGCCTTGGCCTCGCGCGCGAGATGGTGGCGCGAGGGGGGGGCGGCCTTCTCAGAAGGCGCCGGGGGGGGCTCTTCAAGTTCCAGGAGGTCAGGTGGCTTCTTCGGCTTCTGAGAAGCCTCCGCAGAAGCGTCCAGGCGGGAGGAGGAGGAGGAGGAGGAGGAGGAGGAGGAGGAGGAGGAGGAGGAGGAGGAGAGGAGGAGGAGGGAGGAGGAGAGGAGGAGGGGAGGAGGAGGAGGAGGAGGAGGGAGGAGGAGGAGGAGGAGGAGGAGGGCCCCCTGCTCTAAGAGCCCCCCCGCCCCCCGAGGAGGCCGCCTCCCACGCGCCACCCTTGTGCGCGCCGCCAGAGGCTGCCGTGTCCGTTCGCGGCAGCCCTTGTGCTGATCACCGCCGCTGCAGCCCTGCAGCCTTGGGATGCCAAGGGGCCCCGCAGTCCTTGCGGAGGACGATCAATTCGGAGAGGAAGCATGCTGCCAAATACTCTCCAGATGTCTAAGGCATATGTTGAATATGTTTTCAGCATTCAAAAAAACATGGTTAAAACATGGTTAGAACATTTTCCTAAACACATTTTGAACTCAGTGATAGGACTGTCAGGGTGTCCGTTGTCGTGGCATCCGCAATGCAGTCGGCATCCCCACAGCCGAGACGCCGAAGCCTGGACCGCTCGGGGCCCACGATGGGCCGCTCTTTCCGGGCTGGTCCTGGCACCCAACGGGGCACCCAGTCGTGGCCGAGGCTCGCCCTGGCCAGAGTCAGATCTTCGGCGCTCCTCGTGGCAGCACGACGACTGTACGTAGCAGAGACCTTGGCATCGCTCGGACGTGTGCATTTTTCCTTTGGCGAGGACCATCGAGGAGCATCCTTGATCATCTGGCGAAAAAACCACGCACGAGACCGAACAAAAAAATCACAGGGAATGGACGTCCGAGCGATGG